GGAAGGAAGGAAGGAAGGAAGGAAGGAAGGAAGGAAGATAAATGAGATTAACATGCTATGACAGAGAGTTGCAAGGTAAATACAGAATTAAAATACTTTGTAATGGCTTTATACCAAAAATGTAAATGATTAACAATTTAAAAATCCAATTTGAAAACTGAAAGGCTAATTCACTAGTTATGCTTGCACAGTACATTTACTCATAGTTAGTTGAACCCAGATTACTCAGTTAATCCAATTTCCTGGGTTTGCAGTGAACCATGAACTAACCACAAGGACTGGGCTAGGAATTGTCTGGCTAGCTTTGGATTAAGCTGTTGAAAGAGCATACCCTTGCCTTCCCCATCGGGAATTAGGGTAATGCAAGAAGGCAACGGGGTCTTTCCTTAAAGCAGAAGTGTGGAGGCACCCATGTTCTCTCAAAGGCTCAGTGCAGCTCCCCACCCATCAGCACATCCATGTGCAGGTAGAGAGAACATTTCTGCTAGGGCTCCAGGGGAAGCAAAGTGGCCTACCTGCTTGTATGCAGAGATGACCAAGGAAGGCCACGGAAGCAGATGCAACAAGTCTTAAACATTTCAAGGAGGGATGTATTGCTCGTAACATCACATTTTACATAATTCCCTAATTCCCGATGGGGAAGGCAAGGGTATGCTCTTTCAACAGCTTAATCCAAAGCTAGCCAGACAATTCCTAGCCCAGTCCTTGTGGTTAGTTCATGGTTCACTGCAAACCCAGGAAATTGGATTAACTGAGTTAATATCCTTTGAATATTAGAAATAGATGTTCTGTTCATATCATTAGGAGCAGACGCTGTATGTTGAAGTCAATATGCTAGTCCACCTAGCTCTTATTGTTGACATTGACTAGTGACAGCTCTCATGGAATAAAACTACAGTTCTTCTCGGCTCTACCTGGAGATGCCAGGACTAACTTGGAACTTCCTGCATACAAAGCAGATCTCTGAGCTGTAGCCCCTTCCAATAGAAATGCTGAGTCAAATCACTGGTCCTTCTACTTCAATACTGTTGAAAACAAGTACAAATGATGTGCCAAGATTTCAAGACAATTCCCCCCATCCCCGGTTCTACCTACTGAGTGCCCAGCATATCCAGAATCTGGACTTTCTGCATGCAGCTGAGCTTCAGTCTTTTTCAATTTGCACATGACATTATGGGGGATATACACGAGCTTCTCCTCACCCATTGACATAACACATAAAATGGGCATATTGACTAGCTCACATTGGTTGCAAACTTAGCCATGATGCAAATGCTCTATGTACATGCTCATATCCACATGTAGACTTCTTTCACATGAAAGGGGATCTCGGAGTAAGCAAGACTGCCCATACACAGAGAACCTCTATGTACATGCTTCTGTACTCATACGGTAGGCCTACTGTCACTAAATCCAAGCTTCTTGGGGTTAGCTGCTATGACTTATAATCTGCACACACAATAGCTCAATGAACATGAGTGGAATAGGCCTGATATATCCTCTTCTTATTTACTTTTCTCAGGTTAGTAGCTTAAGTCTCTCAGTGATTCTTACACTGGCATTCAACAGGATGTTGCAACCAAGTCTGATCTGGCTGGCAGCGAAAGAATGGATATCCCGTAATAACGTATCTGTTGAAGCACACAACTTCAGCATTTTCTCCAACGTCATAATGGTTCTTCTCATTCTGAAATTAACCAGAGGAAACTCTTCATTTGCTAACCAAATACATGTTATTGGTGGGGGGGGGGGACCTTAGATTCAGGTAGCAACATCCAAACTTTTTATGCAACTTTGCTTGAGGAGTTCAGCCCTTTAAATCTATTTAAGCAAATTTTATTTCACTCTTCAGCAGAAGTGCTCTCAGAATTATAAAAATCCAAAGGTTTTCTTGCATTGTTTTATTTCTACAACAACTCTCAAATTCAGTTAGTCTGAAAGAAAGAATAGTTGGACTAAGGCTAGCTCAGTGTGCTTCGTGGCTGAATTTGGATTTGAAACTATGTCTCCCTGATCTTAGTGCATTACTCTAATTATTAACTTACAGTGATTCTCGATATTATCTTGCATTTTTCCCTAAGAGAGTAGAATGGCTGTGAACTCAACACAATTACAGTGTTATAGTTGCCAGAATCTCCAGCAAGGCCATTTTATACCAGGTGCCTGGCACTGAAAGGTGTAGTGAATGGTGTTTCTATTTAGGAAGCATATGTTTAATCTTTATGCTGTAGTTAGGAAACATCCATCCATCCATCCATCCATCCATCCATCCATCCATCCATCCATCCATTTAACAAATGTATATGGTCTCCTGTTCATTCATTCATTCATTCATTCATTCATTCATTCATTCATTCATTAACACATTTATATGGTCTCCTGTCTAGCTAATGGAGCTCTGGGTGGTAAACAGAAAATCAAACATAATACACAAGGAAATCAATTTTAAAAAATCATGTCAAGGTCACTATAAAACATCTTGTGGCCAATACAATAAACACACACAACCAAGTTCCATGAATATTCTGGACACAAGGCTTGGGGGAAAAGCCGGATCTTCATAGCCTTTCCAGAGTCAGGCCATATCAATCTCTGGGCTGTTCCATAAGTCATGATTCCTAGGACCTACCAAGTGATACTGCTTTACTGGGAAGACTCAGAGAATGTCCACACTGCCAGTTCTGGTGGGATGGACTGGAGATAGGCAATCCCACAAATAACCTGGTCCCATTTTTGGGGGCTTTAATGATAACAGCCAGCACCTGGAATTGCACCATGACGCCTACTGGGAGTCAGTGCAGCTCACGTAGCAGTATTGTTACATGGGTGTACTGTGATGCACCCAGTGCTGCATGTCCCACTGCATTGTGGACCAGTTGGAGTTTCCCAATGGTCTTCAAAGGCAGCCCATATACAGTGTGTTGCAATAGTTCTATTGGGAAGTGACTAATGCATGCATGGCTATGAGCAGTGCCTCCCGATCTAGGAATAGCGCAGGATGTATTTGTGCAGTGGTCCTCCTGGCCAAGGCAACAAGAAGTTTTGTAGTGACCTTGACATGATTCTTTTCTTGAGTCCAGGAGGATCCCAGTTTGCACAGCAACTCTGTCAGGGGACGTGTTCAAGACTTAATCCCTTGCTGGCAAATTTGGCTTAATCATTTGCTTTTCTCATAAGTATCTATGTGCAAGGAGGGTGGGAATGCAAAAACTGAGAACAGGGATGTCCACAAGGGTGGATCAAAACCAGCAAGATGATAGATAGGACATCATGTTGCATAACCTGCTCCTTCGATAGGGGTATTGACATTGCATGCATGCTCAAAAAGGATGGGCTTTGCATCCCAATGCTCCATCTGCCATCTTGCTGATTTTAACATACTCAGCAGCTGCAGATGCTGCTGGCTGAGAAGTTCTAAAACACCTACCCTGATAAATCCATGTTCTGGTGGATCTGGTTTGAGGCATCCTGATTCAGGCATCTCAACTGCAATGTCCCCCTCCCTTGTCATTTCATCATCGTTTACACATACAGCTCCCCTAAAAGAAGAGAACCATGAAATGGGAAATCACTAGGCAGCCATCTTTTTCAGACTCTGGAGGAGATGGGGAAACCATGGTTCAGTGGTAGGGCAGAGCACATGGTTTGCATGCAAAGACCCAAGTTTAGTTCCAAGATTTCTGGTTAAAGAGACTGGTAACTAGTGATATGAAAGCTCTTGAGAACAATAGCACAAGTAAATGTACCAGGTCTTGCCTGAGGCAAAGGACCGGATGGTACCATAGCTTCCATTCTACATCCAGTTTTGCTTCAGCACTGGCAGCTGGAGACAGTATTGCACCAGTATTGCTCTGTCTCTCACGTAGGAGGAACGCTCTCATTCTGCCTGGAATACTATGGCTGAGCAGTTCTATGGCAATTAAAACCAAGGATATTGTGATGGAATGGAATTATGAAGGCCAAGCTCAGGGAGATAATCATTTTCTTAGCTCACCGGAACCACGTGGGAGGAACAAAAGGATGAGACTGACACCTCCCT